AATGCAGGACTGACCTCATTTGCTTCGGTTTCACTCCTATCCTCTGCTGCTCATTGCCGAGCCAGTGAGAAAGGACACGGCTTTGTTGGCTGCAGCTGTGAAAAAACCCTGAGCGGAGAGGGGTGTCTGCCCACATTGTTGGGAAGATGACTCTTCACTTGTGTATATACTTAAACACTGTCAAATGACTTTCTATCTTCCTACCTGCTCCAGTCAAGTGGATTTTTAAGCCTTGTATTACAGGCTGGCCTGTATGCAAAGAATGAGCTCTCCACTCGCTCGCTCTCTTATCTCAAGTGTCATTTACTAGAATCTCTCTACCTTTTGCCTCCTGTAAAATGTAAACTGAATTACAGGCATTTAATTAAATCAACATATTAAGTGCATGAGGAATGAGAGGCAGTGGGAATTTCGATGGCCCTATCCATAGTGGGAATATTAAGTTCTATGATGCCGGGTATCTAAGCTATTTTTCTGGTGTACTGAGAGCACTGGTTGTGTAATAACAATTTCCAGCTGAGACGAAACATGTTTCTGTGCTAGGTCAGCACAGCAAGGGATCATTTCCCTCACCTGGCAGAGCTGCTGCTCTATAAACTGTGTGACTGCTAGTTAAAGGCTCAGGTTTGCAGTAGCACTGCTCCTCTGGGATGGGGGAATTGGAATAATTGGTCAACTCTTGCGAGGGTTTGACTGGAAAAACATGGCAGTCTCTGTTTGCTTTTGTGTATAATCTTTGTCTCAGTCCCTCTGTTTCATACTTTATGCTTAAAATCACTTTGGTCAATGTTGGGGATCTATTTTCTGCCTGATTTTTGTGGCTAAGCATTATGCACATAATATTGATATTTGCATTTTCTGTAGATGCAAAGCATTGGATTCTCAGAGATGAGAAATTTTATTTTGTTCTTTTTGCATTATACTTGACAACTGAAATTGCTGTCATCTTGCCCTAACCCAAATTTGGATCACAAAATCAAAATGAAAAACTGTGAAACAAAATATAGCACAGGAAGCATGACAAGAATGAGATTAATCTCTTTTATGTATATACTTTCCCTCTAATCCTGGATTTCTGAGTAGATGTTTGATGTCAGTTTACCATGAAGACATGGAACAGCAGGCTAGTGAGTGATGGAGTCAAATTAGGGTAGAGCATGAGGGAGGCCCTTTGTCATCAGATGGGGTTGTGTTGTGTGTGCCTCTAAACCAGCTGCTGGCTGTTTCAGTTTTGTCACCATGAAATCCTCTCTTTTAGTCATGATCCAGAGCGGTGGTCTGCCCAGCCTGATTATTTCTTTGTTGGTGGTATATTGCTTTTTCCCTAACTGGGATGCTGCACTTTTGCTGTGACTGGATTTGTCAGAAGAGCAAAAAGGATAAAAGTAGGGAGAGAGAGAATTGAAAGGGTTATTTTCTTCTATTTTAAGTAAAACTTAAAGCATTTTTCTCAGCACTGGAGCACTGTAGAAGAAACAGGAGAGCACAGAGCTGATAAAATGCACATCCATGACCAGAATTTTCCCCCCAAAATTCAGTAGCCTGGAGAAAACATGGTCTGATGGTCTAGGATGTTCTCTAGGCAGCCTGAATATCCCCTGCCTTCCCCTATTGTATGTACAGTAAGGTGCTATTTTGTGAAAGGTGGTCTCAGACCATGCTTCTGGAAAGGTCAGTGTGCTCTCGTCTCCCACAGTTCTGGCATTTCTGTCTTGCTTCAGTTTCTGAAATTAGGCAGCTGTAGGGTGCATTCAATCAACTCATGAATCTGGCTGACTGATAATAATTTTTTGGTGAATTAGTTATTTGGATCAGTGTGCTGTGAATAGCTAGGGATCTGGGCCGACCTTTTATTCTGGTAGCCATCAAGACAGGCTTATGCTCCTGTGAAACTGTACCCTGCAGCTGTTAACTCTTCTCTGGAGCACTCTCTGGGATACCAGACTGAGCACTGAGCAGTACTGTTTTACAGATGCATGCAGGACAAGCTGCAGTCCTATAAGCAGTATCTCAGTTTGGCCTAATAACTGCATACATATATGTGAGTTGTGATGCCCTCTTACACTGGGGTTTTCAGACTCAATTGGGCTGGGTTTCAGCTTCAGGAATAACACCAGCTCTGGGCCAAGCTAACATGGGCTTTTTTCCATCCTCTCTATTTCATTCTCTTGTATGTGCTCTCCATGACCCTAACACCACAGGACCTATTTGTTATTATTGCAGAGCTCCTTCTTGTGTTTCCACCTGTGCTTTACAACCCCACAAATCAGATTAATCCCAAATGCTAACACTATGCTCCTGTATGTCATTCTGTCATGTACACCATCCTGCCGTGCCTCCACTCCTGCGCAGCACAAAGAGCCTGTGCGTAGAGCAGCACACCAGTGACCTTAGGCAAAAGGCATTAGTTGGTTTGGCAGAGGTGCTCACCCCACTCTCAGATGAGAACCAACAGGATGTCATCAGGAGTGTACTGACTTGATGCACTAACTTGGAAATTGATTTTGACAGCCTCTGCTTTGGCAGTTGTCTTCAGGAAGAGGAGTATAGTTCTTCTATGAGCTTCACCAAACTTGCTCTTTCTTGGCTTACAGGGAAGGGATTTATCCAGTAAAGAAGATGGCTTCTAGTCCCATCTTCCCATTTCCATATTTTATCTAACAGTTATTTTAGGTTTTTAGAGTACATTAGTTTGTTACTCTGGATCATGGATATAAATAGATGCCGGTAGCAGGAGGCCTTATCAGCTGTGAACAGCTGTACTTGCCTTTTTATTTTTAATCTAGGCACCAAAAGTGCAGATGGGCAACAAAACTTGGTTTTCTGACAGGTAAAACCTTTAAAATCTTTGGAATTTGTTGAAAACTGTTGCCTCTATTCTAAAAATGAACTAGCATTGCCTTTTGAGGGAAGACTATGACCTAATTATGGGAGTTCTGAGTTCAGGGTGGTATTGAGGTATTAATTCTCTGGTTTTGAAATGCTGTGTGTATATGGGCAGTTGTGCTTAACTAAGTATATAATTGCTTGCCTATGTTGGAGAGCCTGGAGAATCAGGTCTGATTTCCTGGAGACTATCATCTGTGTGCTCTTAACTGAAGTGGCACTTGGGGAATCCTTTAGGTTACCAGGAAGTGAAGAGGAATGCACACGGGCAGAACTTGAGAGAAAAGGATTTCAAACAGTGGATGAGTAGCATTATGCATTGCATTTGTAAGCATGATGAATGAATTTTTGATCTATGAATAACCGTGGGCACTAAAATTGGCCTTTCTTCTATTTAATTTTTACAGCTAAGGCTTTATTTTCCCTGGGTAGATTATTCAGGTTGCAAGTTACCCATACAGAAATCCCAGGCTCAGACCTGGAAGCAGGGTATCTGTTCATGCATGGCTCAGACCCCAGGCCATAAACTGACCTGCTGAAACCCTGCCAGCTTTATTCACAGCTACGAGTGATGTCTCTGTGTTGTGCAGCGTATGGGCTGTGGCGAAGCAGTTTTGGAGGAGCTAGATGCACAGGAGCCAGCTGGAGTCCACAACTTGCACGTCTGGGCTGCAGCTCTGGCTCTGCAAGACTCTGTGCAGCAGGGCTGATGGTGACAGCAGTTCTAGGAGGGAAAACTGATGAAAGAGTAACATATTACATGTCTGTGACCCTTTCTGCTTTGAGAGGTTTGTTAGCTGGGTTTTCATATGGGGCTCTGTACTCCAGGTGATTGACCTCCCAGACCCTGAGCACTGCAAAGTGCAGCGCACAGATAGGCTCTGCCTAACTGGCATTTTGAGGTCAGGGTCTTTTAATCATGTGGATACTTCTATCCCCCGTTGTGTAGTGGAGAGCTGACTTCGTTAATGCTTGGCTGAAGGATGTATCAAGTGGTGTTTGACCAGACTAAGAATAAAGTGTGTAGTTCAGATGTTTTCTCATGAGATGTTCAGCGCTCAGAATATTTATTGCAAAGTTTGAGAGGACAGATCATCCTCAGCTCTGCCACAGAATTCTTCTACACTTGAATAATGCAAAAAAAAAAAAGGAAAAAAAAAAAGAAAAAAATCATCTACAGGCCTACATTGGATAACAGATGTATTTTGTGAAAAACAAAGCAATGTCAGATTTTCCTACCACACAGGTTATGATAAGCTTTTGTTGTCAAACTGTGGAAAGATGTCCAAAGGGAGATGTGTATGGAGACAGTACTTACCATAACATAACCTTCACAGGAAGCAGTGCAGATATTTTCTTGTGTTTGCTGCTAATGGGTAGAAAAGTATTGTTCTATCCTTGGGCAGTATTAGCTGACAGAGAGGAAATTAACTCTTCTTGATGGTTGTAAAATCCGGTGCCTTCTTCCTCTGAAGTTTTTGTTTTCCATATCTGGTTTTGAAAAAATTGTTACGCCAGGTTTTTAAAAGTTTTGCACTGGGCAAGGCACCTTCTGGTCACCTTGGAGAGCATCTTGCTGCTCACTGCTGTTCTGCTTTCATTTGGAAGTGCATAGTCTTCTCAGTTCTCACCTCATCCTCTCTGTTGAGCGGGACAGTGTGGTGCACCAGGCTGAGCAGTGGCACACGGCAGAGGTTCTTTTCTCTTCTGGAACTTGTGGACAAAGGATAGTCGAAGTAGTGGTTAACACAGAAAGAAGAAGGAAAACGAAAAAATCTGGCTGAAAAATAAGTAGGATATTTTGCCTGACCTACAGTTCTTCAATTTTTATGTTTGTAGTTTTGGATAATTTCTGGTTGATCAAGTTATTCCTCTGGCCCATAGAGTCACAAATGCTTTTTTGCATCCTCTGGGGATCTAGCAAGCATGCAAAAGCGAATTAAAGTCGAAGCACCAGAATCAGATCTGCTTCACTGTAATTTCCTGAACTGGAAACTGCAGTAATGTAGATCTTGAAGTGGATCAGATACCATGGCCAGAGAACGTTCAGAAGATGCTGCTGCCATACACTGTCAGGTACTCATATTTACGTGATGTTTCTTCTCTCTCCCCAGGTTGGCGGTGCTTTCACTCAGTCTGCATCGGATATAACACAGCTCTTCTTAGACTGTTGCATACGCATGTTGAGGTAAGGGAGAATTGGTGTCAAAATTAATTTTGGCCTGAGTAGCATGGTAGGCAGATAGTGGGACAGAATTCCTATGTTGTGAGTTGTTTGTTCAGTATGTTTATAAAAGTCAAAAGAGTACTTTTCTGTGACTTAGGACATTAATCTGTTTCTACGTTATTGTAGAGTATTGCCTTTCTGCTTTCTTGATTGCTGTTTATGGAATGCTATAAAATACAAGTAATCAATAGATGCTGAGTAGTGACTCTTCATGTTTTCAGGTCTGTGTTATCTGTGAGGTGATTTTTTTTTTTTCTTGGTGTTGTCACTGTATCATAAATCATAGAATCTGTGCTGTATATCTGTAGTGCTGTATGATAGTACTGAAGTGCATCAGACTTTACTTCCATATATAGATGGCAAGACTGATATACAGAGAGAAAATTGAAGTCAACTTGTCTAGCTCTTGGACAAGATCTCCTGCGTAGGAATAACTGTAACAACTTCATGTGTGATGTAGCTGTTAGTATATTAGGCCTTAGGTTGTTTTAGATTTTAGCCTTTTTAGCCTTTCTGTTTGGTATAATATGCTTTTCTTTTGTACACAGTTTTTCAAGAAGTAAGGGTACAAAAATGAAGCAGTAAGCTTCTCCAGAGTGCACCAGTAGTTATTTTTGGCAGTAGCTTCCTGTACTTTCAAAAGAAAAAGTTTCGAGTTACTTTATTCTTCAAACTTTTGTGGGATGACTCTGCACAAGATAGGGAACTATCACAAATTCCTTCCCATTTGTTGCACTGATATTTGTATTCTTCCCAAGCATGAGTGCATCATGTACTTACCCAGGCCTTTCTTAAATTACAGAGTAGTAGATCTGTAATGCTGGATAAAGTCCTGCTCTATTCAAGGCATGTGGGAATGATTCTGAGGCTGTTGTGAAACAAAACACTAAGTCATGCACATCATTGAAAGATTGAATTTTGGAATGAAAATTCGCAACGTATCGCCAGAATAGAAAAACTTCTGGCATGTTTGTGTCTTCGTTCTCCAGATGTCTTAATTCTTTCCTTCCTAATCTGACTTCTCTCTTCTTCTGTTCCCCTATGTAGTCTAGCTAGCTTAGAGTAGATGAAGACAACTAAAACAGAAAGTCTTAGCACAGTGAAAGAGTTAAAGCATTCTTCATGATTGTTGGAGTCAGCTCCTGGAGTGTCATGTTAGAACAATGGATTTAATTTCTCATCATCTTCTGAGAACAGGGGTGGTGACAAGAGATTATGACTTGATGTCTTCCATGTATTCCCTGCAAGCTTCTTATCAGCTGCTGTGATGGACCTTGTCTGGTATGAGAAAGCATACGTCTTCCAGGCCTTTGGGATTTGCCCATTTCATGTTTCTGTGTACCTCACCAGTTAATCAGTTTGCTTCAAAAGGGGAAATTTAGAAGCAGTGAGAGGTCACACTTCAGGGTTGGCTTTTTGTGCAGCTCCTTGTGTTTGATGTGTCTACCTGTTTCTGGATTGGGGTTAGTCATCACTTAGTGTGGTGTTCCATCATTAGGGATAGGCATTGCAGAGTTCACCGTGATTCAGCTAATGTGATTTTTAGCAGAACAGGATTATCTACGTTAAATTTTGAAGTTTTGTGTTAAACCTGATGTCACTTTTCAGCATGGATAGACTCCTTAATCTTCCTGTTACCATGCTCTAGAGGAGTTGCAGGGACAGTAGCGTCTGTGCTTACTGTATAAGGATGTTTACTGTTTCAGGAGATGATTTGTGTCTTTATCCAGTGTCTCTTAATAAGAACAGGGTGCAGCCCCCACACCTTTCTGCAGAAGGTTTTATAGGATGGCAGTAACTACTGGCATTGCAGCATGTGGGCTTTGGCTCTCCATCACTTCCCCTTGACTTGTGAATTCTTTTCACCTGCAGAGTGCTGAAGTCAGGAGTTGGACTTGATGATCCTTGTGGGTCCCTTTCATCTCAGAATGTTCTATGATTCTTGTTGCAAGTGAGGGGAAGTCAGTTGTCAGCCAAGCCATTAGCTTGGTAGGTGCGTATACATGACTGAAGGGGTTGAATTGTGGCTTTAGTGAGTGGGTAAGGAATATTCTGCTTCAGATGGTATCTTGGAGATCCTCCAGTCTCAACCTTCCCACAGAATTACTATGTTGACTGGAAGGGGCTATGATTTCTCTTTACTGTCTCCTTCTGTTTCTGTGCCCGTTCCTTTCTTTTTCTTTATAATTTTTCTTTAAAGAACTAATATAAAACCTCTTTTGAAATTTTCATGTTTTTAATAAAATGAAAGGGAGGTGTGTAGGAGCCTCATTCATCACCTTTTGTCACCAGACTTGATTTGACATGTAAGACTACAGGAAAACTTTGGCAAGTTCAATGATTCCCGTGTGGGGGTAATAAGAGAGAAGAAAGCTGTCAGTTGAAAACAGCAGGAGCTGCATTAGCAAATATAAATTAAACAGATGGCTAAGATACTACAGCTGTCGCATAGAAGCTCCAAGAAGATCTTTAGCTTAGAACTGCAGGAGGCTATTTTGAAAGGAAAGATGAAAACAACAACAGAGCGAACTTTAGTGTGACGAAAGAGACAATAGAGGCATTCAGAAGACTATATGAGACTGATTTTTTTTCTTCACCTCTTTGCATCTTTTGACTCTAAAATTAATTCAGAATGAGCTATTATAAGGTCATATTGCAGATTTCCATACTTTGGGTTTGTTTACTGGTTTGGAGATACATTTTAGTAGTCTTGTGTGAGGTGCTGGCTTTAATCTATATCCCAGGGAGACAGGAGAGATGTGACACATTCCATACTATTTTAGTCTCCAACTACTTGTTTCACAGCTTTTTCAAGAAAAAGATCTTATTGAGTAATTGTTTTTAAATAAAGTGTGTGTAAACGAATGTTGGAAGTGCTGATGTTTTGCTAAAGCTGACACCTGCATTAAAATGTTTTGCATGTTTCATCTAAAGATAACATTTTTCTGATCAACTTTCAGCTATGGAGTAGCTGCTCTCTGCCTTTGCAGAAGAAGTTACGAACCAGCATATAAGTATATGCTGTTTAATAGATGAGGGCAAATGGAATCTCAGTGCTGTTTTTAGAGGCCAAAAGGCCTCTGTTTTCCAAAATATTGTATATATATTTTCACCAGTTAGGACTACTGATTTGTCTTAGATACTTTATGTGTAATCAGAGACTGATCTACTGCCTTCCCTTCAAAGATAGATGAAGAAATGAACAGTAAAATAGATGCAGCTGCATTTGAAGCCGCTATTTTACAATCAAAGAAATAGTGCACGCAGATGAATATCTAGACTTGCTGATCAGTCCCCCATTCAGTTTGTGTTTTACTTCAAAAAGAAAAAAAAAGTGTATTAATGGTTGACTTCTAAAACTCTGGTTAATATGCAAGAAATTCTCAGTTTTGGGTTGTACTGCAGCCCTTTGTGCAAAATGAATACATCTTCAGTTGTGGTTTTTTTTTTTCCAAATTGTGTTGTTTATTTGCCATAAAATCATGCTTGCAGGGAGCTCTAGGTCTGTACTTCATCTCTAGTGAACTGGGCTCATCATGTAACTCTGCATTTCTCTTGTGATTGCAGCTTCATACCTCAGTAGAGAATAGTACTGCTGATAATATCAAGTAACTGTCATTTCTACTCTGGAAATTTCAATTCTACCCTTGCAGAAACTTTGGAGTGGTTGTTAAACTTAAGAAAAGTGAGAGCAAGAAGAGCCCTTAACATGTAGGCATATTCCCTTTCTAGCATACAAAACTGGAAGAAACGGAGTTGGCCTTGAAGTGTATTTGAACATGAGAATGATAAATGGGGGATATCTGTCAGTGGTGGTGGGACATTTCTGAGTAGGTGACCTTCCACTGGGAAGCCTGGCCTCAGCCTCTGCTGTTAATCTTTTCCTCCATTGTTTTAGGTACAGCTCCATGACATGAACTGAAACAGAACTAACTGGAACAGGAAGAAACAGTGGGGAAGGATAGCCTTCCTTTTAAAGGTGGATAACCTTAATTTTTTCTGCTGAGTATTCTAAAGGCAAGAATGAACCTCAGCTGAAAGCGTAGTTACTGGGTAACGCTTTCTTCTGTATTTGATCTTCATGTAGATCTTTTGGTAGTATCAGAGGAAGAGGCTGTGGAGGATGGAGGGATAACATTGCTGCCATGCTGTGGATAGGCCAAATGGAGAGTGCTCTGACCTATGACACGGAGCTAGTGGGGAGAATGCTTTTATAGTTTTTGAAAGTGGGCCGTGACATAAATTTGCACGTCATGTAAAGTGTTAATATCTAACTCTCAATTGATTAGGAGCAGCTGCTTACATGCAAAATGTATGCTAATGGGAAAAGGAAACATGATCTAGCTTTTATTTTATGCTCTCATGACAAGAAAATGCTTCTTAACTGAAAGCAAGTAAGCCCAACATTTTAGTACTGCAGCTTGGTATATTGCTTAGCTAGCTGCACAGCTTTTTTGTCATTTGGCGCTCATTTGAAACTTGTTCTTTTTGAGCCTAGGCCAGAAATGACAAGTCTGATTTTTCAGTCAGTGCTATTCTGCATCCTATATAGACAAATACTTCAGTGACTGAGTGAAAGTTGTGGAGAACATGTAACAATTAGAAATGACTTCTTATTATTATGCTTATTGTTTGAGAGATGTCACATAAATAATTCTTAGGTAAAACAGCGTATCGAGTAATTCTGTGGGCTGTGGGTTCTATACTGCTAATGTGGTAAATAATACATTGCTGACTAATTTATTGTAGCTAATTTGTCTTAATTGCAGAGAAGGTGGACTTTTGTGTTTTGCTTTAAAGTAGATTTCTCTTTACCTTTCAATGGAAAGCAATTGAATACTGCACAAATCTTGTTAATGAAACCCATCTTTTTCATATGGAAAACATTTTCCATATTGTTAAGTAACTTACTTTTCTTCACTGTAGCAATTTCTGTCTTTGGATTATGAGCTTCGTTCAAT